GGGACATGTGGAGACAGAGCTGTTTCATCTGCAGGAAGACAAGCAGTTTTTATTTTTTAAATCTGTTATAATAACATAAGTCTTCTAGAAAAGAAAAGAAAAGTATGAATTTGTTTTATTATAGAGTTTTACTCATTTGGTGTAAAAAAAGTGCTAATTTTTGTTCTATATTTGGAACTGTTTCTCAAGCCCGGTGATGTTTTTCAGTTGTGCTGTTGTGCTGTTTTATGAAAATCTTTCTCCACTGAAAACCTGACAGTGACGTGTTTTGTTTTGTTTTTCAGAGTCACATAAAAGTTCCAACAGGAAAGGTGAAAGGTGCTGCTGGTGTTTGCTGGTTGAAGAGTGGGGCCTCTGGACTGTCATCATGGATACTCCAGACCTTCCAGTGTCCTCATCGGAAAGTTTGGTGGCAGAGGAGGGCGGAGCTGTTAACTCGATGGGGATAGCAGATGGGGCTGGAGTTTCGTCGAAGCCGGCAGTCACGCTGTCAACGTCTAGTCCATCTGCCGCATATGTGTCATCTATGCCAGCTCCCAAACTCCAACTTCCTACCCCCAGATCTCGACGGATGCCATCAGTTGATCCCAGGTAGTGAGAGTGCAAGTGCACCTTGTATGAGCTGAAATCATGCATGTATGCCCACTTATCAGCACGTTTATGAATGCATCTGTCTTGACGAATGTATTATGCTAACTGGTCTACACGTTTATGTGCATAACTGTGTTGAGATGTAATTTATAATCTGTTTGGGATTGTTGCTCTGAAGCAGACTTGTTCAAAAGTAAATGAGCATTAAGGCTTTTTTTCAACATGCTCCCTCATTTGTCCTAGAAAACATATATATGTGTGTCACGACGCAGGGCAATCAGGTGCTGGTCAGTTTTTGGGCATGTATGGAGTTATTGGTATAATCATAAAGTCTATTCATTGACCGTGCTTTTGATGAAAAAAATAGCCACTTATCTTCAATAGAAGTCGAGATGTTTACCATTGAATGACGTGGGGGTTGCCTGGTGTCAGAATTGAAACTAGAGAGAAAATGGCTGCCAAAGTTTGATTGCTTCTTAAGGTTGAACTGCAAATTCACACTTTTATCCCTTTACGATACATTTTTCAGTAAAAATCAAAACAGAAATATGTTTTTATATATGGACATACTTCTTCTTATTCTTCTCGATCGCATCACACTTGAAGTCTGGTATCCGTCATAGATTGGGCCGTCCTGCTCAGTTCATCTGTCGGCCCGTATAGCCTCTCTTGTAGTGTCAGTGGGGTTGGCCACGTTTCCTGTCTCAAGGCCCTGTATGTCTTGCAGTGCTGAAGGATGTGTTCAATAGTCTGGTCCGCCTCTCCACACTGGCATTTTCGTGATTGTACTAGTTTAAAACATCGGTACATATGTTGTCTCAGTCTTGTGTGTTGTATTCTTAGTCGAAAGATAATCACTTGTTCTTGGCGAGACAGCTCATGGTAGCCATCTGGTGTCTGAGGTGCTTTAAATAGTGTATTCATAATATATTTTTTATTTCTGTGTAGTTTACACTGCTGTCTGGTTGCTCTTTTTGTTGCATCAGTGGCTGATCCGTCCGTATAGATCCTTATCCATGCTTCTTTTTCAAGCATGGACAGGGTGAGGGACTTTTTGCTCAGGTCGCTGTGGTCATCTTTTGTGGTGAACATAGGAATGGACATGTGTATAATTATGTTTGTGTTTTTCTTTTCCCATGATGGTGCCTCTGGGTTATGGTTCAGCATGTTCACTGTGGCCGGTAGATGGTCCTGTAGGGATCTTTTAATTTTTCTTTCTTTGATGAAGTTGGATCTTTTAAGTCTTGTGGTAAAAGCTTTTTCTTCCCATGCCCCCAAAATTTGGAATTCCCTCCCCACCCCAAAAAAACCCATGAAAGAAATGTGTATTATGACATCAGAGTGAGAGTTTAAGAAAAGTCTAAAGACATATATATGAGGCAGTGTGGTGAAATCAGGCACTCGTCAAAACAGTCAAAGTGAAGAAACTGGCATTTTTCCACAGGTTTGGGAATTTTTATCGAAGTTTTGTTTTTTGGCTCAACACCTTTCATGCCCATTGAAGAACACATTTCTGTGGATTTTACTGAAAAACGTTGATTGAAGACACAAAAAATGTAAATTTTCAGTTTCCACAGACTGTCAAGCTCAGGAAATAACTCTTCTTTGGCTGCCGTTTTCTCACTAATTTTACCTCTGAAACCAGGCGACCCCCATCTCCTTCTTTCACAAATATCTCTACTTCCATTCAAGATAATGGGATATCTTTTCATCCAAAGCAAGACAAATGAACAAGCTTTAAAATGATACTAATAACTCTACATGCCCAAAAATTGACGAGAGCCTGATTCCACCGCGTCGTGACACATAATATGTGTTCAACACTACCATCTGCCAGTAAATTTTATATGGGATAATGTGTGTGTGTGTGTGTGTGTGTGTGTGTGTGTGTGTGTGTGTGTGTGTGTGTGTGTGTGTTTGTGTGTGTTGCATATGTTCGCGCATGTGTGCATGTACGTGCGCGTTTTAAAAAAAATCTGTGTCTGTGTTGTGGTGCTGCTGCTGCTGCTGCTGAATGGTGTCCACCTAAGATTGCACCGCTAACGATCCTGGTTTGCTTAAGATCCTGCTGTTTTAAGAAAACAGAATTTTTACTATACAAAAGTTACTCCTAAGATCCCGCACTGATTCACTCTGAAGGTTTACATTCGGCACTTCAGATCATAACTTACGGAATAAAAACCCGGGCTGGCACTGCCGATCAACCAAGAGCGAAAAGTTGAGATCATTGAATTGCCCGTTGCATCAAAGATCAGTCAGCCACTCCTGTGAATTCGATTACCTAAATGTTGTAAAACTTAATGAAACGGTACAATGTTTGCCACAGACGAGATCACACCGAGGAGGGAACTGACTGGCGCATTTGTTTACCCCAAACATCGCACTCGCATTTGAGCTCTTCACTTAAACTTACATCACTCGCTGGGTGGGTAGGTAGGGCCTACACATTTGCTCCGGCGGGATCAGATCGAACTGTGAATTCTTCCCTGACCATTGCCGCAGTAAATTGTCTCTGTTCCCGAAATTTGCGAGACAGACTAAATTTTAACTGGTGTGGTCACAACCTAATTATGTGTAACGACAAAGGCGGGAGAACTCGGGCAGAGATGGAAAGCTATTAATTTTGGACAGGTTAAGGGGAAGGGGGGGGGGGAGTTGGGGGGGAAACTGGACAGGCGTACATAGAGACTCACGATAGGATAATAAATGTAATTGCATGCCTCATGCCACTGTGATTGGTCATCAAGGTTGACCACTCTTTGCTCGCCATAATATGTCATAAACCCACCCAGGGGTCACGTCAGTTCATTTTAGAGTGAAGAGAAACCATTTTACCGTTTGTGGGCCTTAACATGGGTCACCGTAGATTCTTCTCTTGGTTTGTCGGTTAAGATACCGCATTTTCCTTGTTCCCGAGCACCGGGATCTTAGGCGGAGACTACTGTATTGAAATTCAGTCAGTCAAGGGGTTGAATGTGTGCAGCTTGTTTTTAAACATTTTTTATTATTTATTTATTTTCATATTACTAATGAGGTCAGACCTTTGAGATGAGTATTGGGAGCTTATTTAATTTTGTACTTGTATTTAGATACAGCCTTTAGTGAAGGTGTAAGAGGAGTTTTGGGGACGATTAAGCAGATATAGTGTAGAGGACTCAGAAACTGCCACAACAAACACCTCTACTGGTTATGTCATGTCTTTTCTTGTTAGTATAGCAGTCACAGTCTATTGTTTTTGCAAGTGTCTACTACCTATCATGATTTGTTTGCCAATTTTGCTTATTGCTTTTGTTTTTTGTTTTGTTTTTGTTTGTCTGTTGTTTTTTTTGCATTATTTATGCCAAGGTTTGCATGGCTGGAAATTGGAGTGGCAGTTTTAAATCTTTGGTCTGTATATAGTGTTGACTCTCAGACCGGTTTACATCTGTCTTTAGTTTTTGTCATTACTCACTTCCCTTTTTTTGGTTTTCGTAGCACGTTGATTCCGGCCCGACGAAGTTCTACCCGCTCTATCAAGCGCAAAAAGTTTGATGATGAACTAGTGGAAAGTAGCTTGGTCAAAACTGAACGTGGCCGCCTCAAGTCCGGAGTCACCAGTACGGCCTCAACCCCTGCTCCTTCTCAGACAGCTGCAGCAACTTCGACTGCCCCTTCCCTCGTGTCTACGCCGGCCCCTGTTGCAGGGACTCCCACTGTAGGGAGCAGCAGTACACCAGGGGTGGCCAGTGTGGTTCCCAACCCTCCAGCCGTGTTGATGACCACGTCACAGTCACAAACTCTGGTCAGCAAGACAGCCACAGGTCAGTTACCCATTTCTCAGCAGGGAGACTTTTCCACGAAGCTTGGAAATTCTGGATTTCTGGAATGTTTTAAACATTCTGTTTCCTATGATAGTGTACACACCGTTTTTAGTTGTTGCATATAGTACTGTAATTTGGAAGCCTAAGCCTGTCCTATGATATTGACTAAATGGTGTCGGTGGCTTTACCGTAGTGGTTAACCTCTCAGACTCGCAACCATAAGGTCGTGAGTTTGAATCCCGTCAGGGGCCTGAGGTTGTGTCGTTTATAAAGGCACTTTACACTAGTTTTCCTCTCTTCAACCAGGTGGGAATGGGTACTCAGCTATAGACAATGAAAGATCTTGACAGTTTGTTAGTGTTTGAATTCTTAATCCGCTGCTTGCACTATATGCTTACAGGAAGTTGAGAATGTTTCTGAGTGTTCTATGGTCTGCTGGGGTAATAATACAGTGTGTAAAGTGCGTAGAGCTTGCTGTTGAGTGGGAATATTCACTATACAAATGCTCTTTATTATTATATTATTATTGAATTCTTCCTTGGATATCCCCATCACTTCCTCATCCAATCACTGCCCCTCAAGTGTCTTCTCTGTATCCTAATCAAGGTACTAACCTTATGATATCCTCATTATGTTACTGTTCTTCAAATGTCCTCATCGTGGCACTGTTTCTCAAATATGTGTCATCATGGTGATATCATGCTCTCGTTTTATGGACTTTTTTTCTTTTAGCTCAAGACCTTTTATGTCAATTTAAAAACACATTTATGAGGCATGCTAACAAAATTTGTTACTTCTCAGATTTTGACCCTCTGGAAATAGCTTTGTCAAATTTATAGGTTGAGTTTGTACGTTGTATTTGTCAGTTGGAAATGATAAATGACGTGTTCAACTACTGGAAAACCGCTTCATTGAAAATTTAATTTGACCCCTGGTCAGTTTTCGGCTGGTGTCTCAATTCTCGAACTGTGATAAGTAAGTAATTAATTTTGTCTGCTCACCTCTCATTTCTGTTTGGATTTTATTTGAAAACTTTGATCTAAGGCACAAAACTGTTGCAGTTTCCATGGACACTAAGCTTTGAAATTCACACACCTTGGGGGGCCATTTTCTCGCTAATTTTATCACTTACCCCGCTTCATTTAGATGCAAAAATCTTTACTTCAGTTCAAGATAGATGGTTATTTTGATTTTAACAAAAGCAAAACAAATAACCCAACTTTAAGATGATATCAATAATTCTGTACATCCAACATTGATGAGTGCCTGATTCCACCCTGTTATGACACAAATGTCCTCAGATGTTCTCATTATGTCCTCACCAAGATATTTTTTCTTGGGTATTTAAAAACAAACCTTGGTTTTTCAGATGATGGCAAAGATGTGAGCAGACAGACTGAGTCAAGTGCTCCAGTGAGACCACCGCCGGAGAAACGCAGCAAACCCAGCACTGGCAAATCTAGTGCTGCGGCCAAAGGCTCCTCAGGGAAAGTGGGTGGAGCTTCCAAGGCGGTACAAGCAAAGTCTGGCCATGGGAAGGCAACGGGGTCTAAAGTTGGGCTCTCTAAGTCGGGTCACTCCAGGCAGAAGGTAATTGGAGTCAAGCCTTTGTCAGATTTGGTGCTCAGCATGGGCTTGGGAAGTCTTATTTAGTGTGTCCTCATTACACTAGCCGTTGTGGCTGAAAGACAAGGAGAGGTGGGAGGTGGTCATAGTGAAGGATGAGTTATGGCTACGTAACTTCCTTCATGTAGTTTCCAATCTTTTTGTTTTGTTTTTAGATGACTTTGAGCAATGGAGACAAACATGGCATGCTGTTCTTTTGTAAAGAGTCATATCAAGCTAGACTGCTAACTGTGATGTTGGCACTTATGAAGATGGGGAATTTGTAAGTAAGTAAGAGTAAGTGTTTATTTGAGAGGTGGGACCTCCGAATTTAACATCTGTCTCCGATATGAATAAACCAAATGTGTTGAGAGCCTTGAAAACTCCACAAAAAAACCCCCGAGCTCAAGACTGCCTATGTAGGGATTGGAACCAGGGCCATCTGCTCCATTTTCCATCATTATACCAACTTAGCTAATGGAGTGCCCTCTGTAGTTTGAGATGAACAATCAGAATTTGATTTTACAAAGTAATATCATTCAAAGTTATCATGGATGTAAAAAAATTCAGTGTGAAGGGTAGAAATATTTTAAGCGACCTGCTTTCTCTTGCAAGGGAGTGAACCAGGTCAACTTCCTCCCCTCAAGATCACAACGCAAGAGCATTTAAATAAAATAAAAACCCAACCTGTTTCTCACCTACCAACCACTATTGGTTGGCATGTGTAGAATGCTTTGCTTGTGTCTGTCTTCAGCCTATCAGTGTTGGGGGCGGGGGTGTAAAATTGACTGGACTTTCCTGGAGCTTAACTCTCACTTTCCTAAAATGCTACCTTTACTGTGACTTAAAGTTTCCGTCTGTCGTTCCTTTGACTTCAGTTATTTTTCACATACCTGCTCTAGCTTTTAGCTTTACTGTTTATCTGAATGTATCTTAAAGCTTTTCCCCTTGTTTCGTCTCTAGTCTAAGTCGAAGCGGTCGAGGAAGCCAAAGACGTCTGCTCCAGCCGTGAAGGATCTGGGCCGATGGAAGCCTCAAGATGACCTTGCCCTTATAACAGCGGTGCAGCAGGTGACCTCATGGGGATGTGTGTGTTTGTGGTTTTTGTCTGTTTGTTCGTTGAAGTACAGATAAGAAGCTAAGTGTTATTATTGTGATTAAGTTCAGGGTGATATTGCCGTGTCTAGGAGAAGTCTGGGTCCAGAGAGACCAAGTGCAGGGGCTATGGGTTGAATAGAGTTGCCATTTTCCAGAGAGTTCTAAGTGGAATAGGACAGTATCTGACTGCTAGAAGCTAGTTGGGGGAGGAAAA